TGGATGGATGGATGGATGGATGGATAAATGAATAAATGAATGTCCATCTACCACCTGCACTAAATTACCCACTTCCAGTAGTGCTGCCCCTGCCTGTCTCCTGCCTGACCTCACCCTTCTGTTTTTCAGTGATATTGCCACATACCTTCCAACTCATCACAGGGAGGGAATCCTAACTCAAGGGCTCTGGAGTCCCAAGAATCTGTTTCCCAAGAACATCCCATCCTTCACCGCTTTCCCAGCCTAGACTCTGCTCAGCTGAACCCACATGCCCAGCTTCCAGAGTCCAGTCCCCAGTTCTGGGTAATTGCCAAGAGGGAAGGGTGTGGACTTGGCTTCACGGTTGTTTTCCTGATAGAGGCTAGAAGCCAAAGAGGAAAAGCTCCAGCCAGCAGCTCCACCACTGCTATCCAGAGACACTGAGCGGGAGCGGGCTCTCTCAATTCCAGGTTAGGAGACCCTAACTGTGCCTCAAACTCAGGCCTAAGTAGATCAGGCGGCTCTCCCTGGAGTGAACATGGGGCCCACGAGTGTGATACTTACTGGTCTGCACTTCACACGTCCCAGGGCAGCCAGGCTCCTGTATGGAGAGAAAAGAGTCGACCTGCCAAGGCTGCTTCACCTGCCTCTCTCCGGTGACTCTGTGAAACGGCCATCTTCTCCTTCCAATACCTGGAGGTCTTCTCCCTATACTATACCTGCTTCCCCTGCCGCCATGGTCCCTAGGGTCCTCGGTCATCGCAACATCTTCATTAGCTAATGGTTCCTGCCCCTTAAGTGCTTGGAAATCTGCACCTCATGCATACCCTTCTGCATGATGAAGGGTATGAAACACTAGCCTGGTGTTCAATACCTTCTCCTTAGCCTCCCTCAGCACTGAGCCGGCTGGGAGGGGAGAAGTGTGCAGACCTAGATGTGGACCCAGGGTGTCCGGCTCTTGGCACACCTCCCATTAAACAAAGAAGAAAGTCCTTGCTAGCCCTAGAGCCAGTGAGGGAAGAATAGGGTACTTGGCTCTGTGAGACAAGGTAGGGTGCCCTGAAACAACCTGAGCAAGGTGCCTCCTCAGGAGTGCTGGGCTAGGACCTTCAGGGCCCCAGAGGCCTGGGACCAGTCCAGGCCACCGCTCTCTGGCTTTACTTTCAAAGCTCTTTCCTTTTTTTTCACAAGGCTTGGGTGGTAACAGAACTGTTCACCTACTTATTACAGGGGATAAAGTAAGGTTCTCAGAGGACCAGGGCCAATGTCACACAGCCACTTCCCAGTTCTAAGTGCTTCTACGGAGGTGTGACTCGTTCCCCAGAAAGGAGAATCGGGCCCTAGCCTCTTGATGAAGAAAAGAAAGAGGTGAGCAAGGCCCTGGTTCTGCATCACCCATGTTGGGCCCTGAGCTGCCAGGAATGCTCACGGAGCCTGTGGGCTTCCTGGGAACGACACTTCTTCCTGGAGCATTCCTGGTCTCTGAATCTTTGTACATTCTTGGGGGTCACTTCCACTAGCAAGCCTTCCTTGGCGCTCCAGGAGACCCCAACTCTGAGCTCCACCACCCCCTGGAGAAGGTCCTTAGACTGTCAGCTCCTGACAGGCAGACCGCTACCATGGCCACAGTGCCCGAGCAAATGTGGGCACCCAGGCAAGCTTCAAGGCTGAGTTGCCACTGATGACTCCCTTCTTGCTGTGGCCCCATTCCCCGGGGACCCGTGCCAACCATCCAACCCTTATCTGAGCTCCCAAGACCCCTCCCTCCCCACCACCCGGCCAGGGCCTCTCCTGCCTGGCTGCCCACTCCACTCACCGGCTCTGCGGCTTTCCCATGGAGCACGGGCTGTGGCAGGGCCATCTCCAGCCTGTGCAGAAGCCACTCAATCAGCCTGTAGTGGAGAGAGGAGCTGAATCCAGGCGGGAAGGGTCAGGGTGGGGAATCTCGGCAGCACAAGGCTGCCAGGAGGCAGGTCGTGTCAGAAGCCAGCCCCAGGTCTGTAACCCTGAAGGCCCCTTCCCCCCTTCCCCATCCTTCCCCGGCAGTCCTAGCAGGGAGCTCAGCTCAGCCCTTCACCTCACTTCAGATAGGCATTTCCAGTCTCTCTCACACCCCAGCGCATGAGCACTGAGCCGCACCCAACCGGATTTTAGAAGCATGTAGCCTTATAAAGTCCACACATTTGCTCCTGGTAACCAAGTAGGGCGTGTACAAGGTTTTTGATGGCAGGAAAAGTGTAAAACAGGTCTAAGCGCTCTTGTTCGGTTAAATAAATGGAGCGCTATATAGTTCTTTGCAGTGATTGATGGAGTGAAGTTGACTGGTGTATAAAACCACCTCTGAGAGACTTCTTCAAAAAGTGTGTGTGTGTGTATGTGTGTGTGTGTGTGTGTGTGTGTGTGTGTGTGTGTGTTTGTGTGTGTGTGTGTGTGTACATGCGCATGCATGTTTCTTGTGCATGTGGTTTACGCACATGAACAGATGTGTAAGTCTGTGCAATGGGGCAGAGACCAGAGAAGGGTGGCAGGTACCCTCCTCTATCATTCCTGCTTGTTCCTTTGAGGCAGAGTCTCTCCCTAAACCAGAGACAGGATCTCTCCACAAACCTGACCAAGGTCTCTTCATAAACCTGAGGCAAAGTCTTTGCCTAAACTGAGAGTTTAAGTTTTCTCAGCTTGGGTGGCAGCCAGCAAGCAATCCCCCTGTCTCCATCCTCTGTCTCAGTGCTGGGCTTGGTTACAGTCCTGCACAGGACCATGCTCACTTTTACATGGGTGCTGGGATCTGTGTTCTGGTGCTCATACTCATGAGTGAGCTAGCCCAGCATGAGCAGTGAGCTAGCCCGGCATGAGCAGTGAGCTAGCCCAGCATGAGCAGTGAGCTAGCCCAGCATGAGCAGTGAGCTAGCCCAGCATGAGCAGTGAGCTTGCCCAGCATGAGCAGTGAGCTTGCCCAGCATGAGCAGTGAGCTTGCCCAGCATGAGGAGTGAGCTTGCCCGGCATGAGCAGTGAGCTTGCCCGGCATGAGGAGTGAGCTTGCCCGGCATGAGCAGTGAGCTTGCCCGGTATGAGCAGTGAGCTTGCCCGGCATGAGCAGTGAGCTAGCCCAGCATGAGGAGTGAGCTTGCCCAGTATGAGCAGTGAGCTTGCCCAGTATGAGCAGTGAGCTTGCCCGGCATGAGCAGTGAGCTAGCCCAGCATGAGGAGTGAGCTTGCCCGGCATGAGGAGTGAGCTTGCCCAGTATGAGCAGTGAGCTTGCCCGGCATGAGCAGTGAGCTAGCCCAGCATGAGCAGTGAGCTTGCCCGGCATGAGCAGTGAGCTTGCCCAGCATGAGCAGTGAGCTTGCCCAGCATGAGCAGTGAGCTTGCCCAGCATGAGCAGTGAGCTTGCCCAGCAAGCACTCTTAACCACTGAGCCAGTTCTCCAGACCCTAGGGAACTTATTTTCTTAAGTGAAAAAAAAAAAAAATATTTGCAATTTACTTTTGATAGGGCTCTGTGTGTGTGTGTGTGTGTGTGTGTGTGTGTGTGTGTGTGTGTGTGTGTGTTGCTTGTTTTGAGACAAGATCTGACCATAAAGTCCAAGCTGGCTTTGAACTAATGATCCTCCTGCCTCAGCTTCCTGAGTTTACAGGTGGGCCCTTGGTTTATGTTTAAAGGAAAAGTACACTCCCCAGCCTGGTTGATGAGGTTTGCCTGGGGAGTCTGAGTTTTCTCCCAAGCGCATGTTTTAACTTTCTAACTAGTGTTGGGCTGGAGCCAAGCGCTGAGCCTGCTCCCTCTGGGAGGTGTGGCCTTTAGGGAGCTCACCTGACAGGGTCCCCAGGTGGTGGCAGGGAAGAGACCTGGAAGCCAGGCTGGGGCTCTGCAGTTGGCTCCTCCTCCGGCTCCAGGGTTTCAGGATTAGGCTGGGAGGGAATCTCTGTGGGCTCTGTCTCCATCGGGGGTTCTGGAGGATCTGAGGGTAGGAGAGCCAGCACTAAAGACCCCATAACAGGGTTTCGTCCAATCCCTCCCGGGTATAAAGGACCAGATGTGGAGACTTGACATGGCTGGGTGAAGAGCCCCTTGGGGACCACCCTAACACCAGTCAGGAAGGGAAAGGGACCTATCCAAGCTTGTGAAGTCCAGCTGACTCTAGTCACTGGAGTCCCAGGTCTGACTAACGTGGGGTTTCCAGTCTTAGCAAGGACTGGACTGTACCCTTGCCTGGCTGAGCACTAAGGCTTCCCTGAGACCACACACACACACACACACAAACACACACAGGTTCCCCTGGAGCCCAGCCTGTGACTACTTAGGAAGCCCCTCCCAGCTCCTCTGTACCTGGATCCAAGACAGCAGCCTCTGGTTCAGCACTCCAGGCCTGGATGACAGAAAGGTGGGTCATAGTCAAAGTCAGCCCTGTTCATACCTCACATTGATGAGCTGGGCCCTGGGCCCATGCGGTCACACATGTGTGCATGGTGCTGGTGGTGGGACTATGATGGTTAATCTCCTCTGTTAACTTGATTTAGGATCATCTAGGAGACACACCTCTGGACAGGCCTTTTAGGGAGTTTCCAAAGAGGCTGAACTCAGCAAGGAAGACCTACTCTGAATGTGGGTGGCACCATGTCATGGATTGGGGTCCCAGACTCAATAAAAAGATTTAAGAGAGAGACAGACAGACCCACTAGCATTCATTTCTGTCTGCTTCATGACTGCAGATGCCGTGGTTCCCCACAGCACCACGGTAGATGGCACCCACTTTAAACCATAAGCTAACACAAACTCTTTAAGCATCTTTTTTCAGGAATTTTGTTTCATCACTAAGAAAAGTAATTAATACAGTGGCTCCATCTTGCTCTAAATGTCCCCAGGCCCTGGTCGGTCACTCCTCCCATGGAAGACACTCCAAGGAGAAGATCCACTCTCCAGTGGATGTTGGGGGTTGGCCATGGCCTGCTGGAGTGGGTAGCTGCCTGGGCCTCAACCCTCCCTGATGGTCAGCTGCCCACCCCCAGCTCATCACTTACCTCGGAGGGTTTCGGGGGCTGAGGCAGCACTTTCTCCAGATTCTGCTCAAGCCACCTGAGCAGCCACAGGCTGGGCCTGCAGAAGGGTCAGAGATCAGCAAGTGGGTGGCCTGAAAAAGGGCCATCTGAGCTACCGCACTGCCCACTGGGGTCTAGGCCTGGCCAGCCTTCTACACCAGGAGCAGGAGCCAGCCTTCTAAGGAATGAATGAGTGAAGGGGTGGACGGAAGGAGATGGTTGGAACGGAAGACATGAGTCTGGGTTTCTTGAAGAAATCACAAAGTGGTCCTTCAGGCTGACATTGGGGACATGCCAACCTGAATAGTAACTGGCAATAGGTACTAATTAAGGACTTTATAGAAAATCCTAGGTTTCTAGCCTTGGGCTTTATTTTGTACTTATTTTTTGTTTGGTTTGCTTTTGAGACAGAGTCTTGCTATAAAGCCCCAACTGGGTTCACATTCATGACTGCCCAACCTCAGCCTCCCCGGCTCTGGAGTTACTGGTTACAGGTGTGTGCCCGTGTGTCCAGATTGGTTTGTGGCTTTTCACACAGGAGGCTCTGCAGTTACCCCAGGCAGAGGTGGCTGAGAGTGGGCAGGGCCCTCCCTGGGCAGGCTCCCCAATGTGTCATTGTCCTCATCTGGCCTGACACCCCCACTGATAAGGCAGCTAGCTTCCTTTGAGAAGTCCTAAACTTTGAGGCTGAGACAACCAGGGTAGCACGTTCCCTGTGGGGGTCCAAGTCCTGCCTCCAGGGGCCCCACCGGCCCCACCCCCAGACGTCTGTCTGCACAGAGCTTATCCATACTCCCTTTCCTTCTCAGAGGCGGCCCCGCACAGAGGCTCCAGCAAGCAGTGGAAAACATGGACAGCATGGGGATTACGCCACCCCATGCTACAGATAAGAAAAGTGGGGGTGAAGAGAGGGAAGAGACTGGGTGTGGTGGTGGCGCACACCTTTAATCCCAGCACTTGGGAGGCAGAGGCAGGCGGATCTCTGTGAGTTCAAGGCCAGCCTGGGCTACAGAGCGAGTTCCAGGACAGCCAGGGCTACACAGAGAAAGCCTGTCTCAAACTCCACCCCCAGCAAAAGAAAGACAGAGAGACAGAGAGAGAGAGAAGGAGGAGGAGGAGAAGAAGAAGGAGAAGAAGGAGAAGAAGGAGGAGGAGGAGGAGGAGGAGGAGGAGGAGAAGAAGAAGAAGGGTTCAAGGAAGAAGGAGAAGAAGGAAGAAGAAAGAAAGGAGAGAGGGAAGAAACCTGCTTCAGGTCCCGTGGGAGGTGGCAGTAGCCCCTGCCCAGAACCCCAGGCCTCCCCCTGCACACCCCTGGGCCCACTACAGACGACAGTGGCTAACAAAGACTTACTCAGTATCTTGAGCCCCGGAAGCATCATCTGAACCATCTGCAGACCCTATAGAGTCAGGAAATAAAGGACAGGGAGGCAGGATGAGGAAAGATTGCCCAGTGGGTACAAGACTGCACTTAGAGGTTGTCAGAGGTCCTGGCTGCGCAGAGGCGGGGACAGACAGCAGCTGGCCACTGCACATCCCCAGATCTACAGAAGAGACCGAATGTTTTCACCCGGAGGAAATGAGAATTGTCTGAGGACAGACATAGGTGGGTTTAATCGGATTACAAAAGCAGGCGGGGAACAAAACATCACCAGTAGCCCTTAAAACACACTGTTATGTTTTATGTATCAGTTAAAAAATAAATTGACAAATTAAAGAATATTCATGAAGTCAATGGAGAAAGAAGAGGGAAGGAAGGAAAATGATAAAGGGAGTAGAGACAGAGGGAAAGAGGAGAAAGTGAGCAGAGAGGAAGATGGGGAGGGGGCGGGGAGAGCAAGCATAATATTATCAAGAGCAAACACTTGCCTGGAACCCCAGGCCAGCCTGAAGCAGCACTAAGACCACTCAAATCAGGCCACTCAGGGCCAGTGGCTGGGCCACTCCCACGGGCCACGCATATTATCCCCACTTCCGGGCCCATTCCGGTCTCCTCTTAGACGCTCCCACCCTTGGAAAGCCGTCCTGCTTTTTGGTCTCACCTGGTTCCCCAGCGCCACCGGGTCCCAGAATCTGTGCTCCAGCCTGACGAGACAGACAGACAGACAGACATGACAGGGAGTCCAAGGAGCAGCCTCCCTGGCCCCACAACCCTCCACCGACCCTTCCTCCACCCGCAGGTCACCCTGCCCTTGTACCTGATCTGGGTCTCCCAGGTTCTTGTTGCTGCAAACAGGCTGTGGCACGACCTTCTCCATGTGCTTCCAGAACCAGGTCAGCAGCCAGGCGCGGGGGCTGCCAAGGGACAGGGATACCAGTCCACTGTCAATCCCCACACCATCAGAGTGGCAGTCCACAGACCCCAAAGGACTTGACATGAATCGAGCCTGTCTCCCCGTGGTGAGTCTTTCCACCTCACTCCCTCTCTGGACAACACAGGGTACCCTCCAGGCCCTAGCCAAAGAGGTGAGGGAGACCTTTGGAACCTGCCCTCCGGGTGCTCCATCCACACAGCCCAGCCAGCCTCTCTCTATACCCCAGTTAGCTCGCCCCTGCCAGCATTCATGTTTGGTACTCTGAAAGGACTCCCCTTAGAATATCTCTGGAGGCAGAGGCCGAGACTGATCTGTTTGTGTGAGGATCCTGGGTTCCTGCCTTTCGTCAGCCCGAGCCCAAGAAGTGCTTTGGTCCGAACTCTATGGACTAAAATGGCTAAGCACCAGGAACACTGACTTCCCTGGGAAACCAGCCGCTCCGGCTGCTGTCTGAAGTTACCCCAGCACTGATACCATTCTGGCCCCCCGATATTACCATGGCCTGCCCTCTCTTGTCCCTGATTCCCATTATGCTCGGAGCACCACCACCCCAGCCTCCATGAAAGTTCCCCATAACTGTGCCCTGATGCTCTGGGCCTCTACTGAATGGCCGCGGACCTCATTCACAGCTACCCCTCCACACCAGTGGCTCCCTGCAGGGGCAGCTGGGAGAGGAGAGGGTGATATGGTACCTGTTCACCTTGGCAACAGCAACCTCGGCCTGAAGGGTAGGTTGAGGAGGGTCAGTTTCCTGGGCCTCTGGCAAGAAAAAAAGGATGTCCCATATTTCAAATGCGGACCCCAGAGAGGCCCATTTCTCCCTTGCTAGGGAGATCAAGTCAGAGGCAGGGCAGAAGGAGGCCACCGAGGGGTTAGAGGTGAGCTTCTCAGCTCAGCTCCGCTGAAGAGCCACACCAAGCTTCCCTGAGCCTCCACTTCATCATCTGTGAAGTGAGTGAGCTGCTGCTGGGCTCTGAGAGGAGACCCGGGCCCCCTCCCAGTCAGCCTGGGTCCCAGCACTCACCTTGAAGGCTAGGGCCAGCCTCAGCTACGCCCTCCCCTTCCATTGGCTCCTCCCCTTCCATTGGCTCCTCCCCTTCCATTGGCTCCTCCCCTTCCATTGGCTCCTCCCCTTCCATTGGCTCATCGGGTGGCTGTGGGGTTCAAACAGGACCGGTAAGCCTTGATGAGGCTGCCCGTGCAGAAAGGGCAGCCTCTGGCTCACCCTAGGGACCTGCAACCCCCAAAGTTCAGTGACTCATTTCAGAGTCATCTGTGTAAGTCCTGCCGGACTCACCCTCCACCCAGGGCCCTTCCTTCCTCCACCACAGGTGGGGCTGGGTCTGCACCCAGGCTGTTCCACTTCCGTGGCCTGAGAAGAGGAAGGAGCCGAAAGACAGACTTGGAGAACAGAGGTGCTCCTCTGTCAGGCCTTTTCCTCCTGGTGCCCCAAATTCCCTTCCTGCCTCTGCAGTTTGCCTCTCCTGTTCCTGCAGCCTCCTCTACGCCTGCACACTGTGTGCAGGAACAGACAGCCGTGCATGGCATCCATGCAGACATGCACAGGTGTACACCCGTCCCTGGGCCTGGAGGACAGTGGGCAGGGAAGAGGCAGGTTTCCAGGCCTCTGGAAAAGAGTCCCACACTTCAGATCTGGTCTCCCAAGAGGCCCATTTTTCCTGAGGCCACATTTATGTATGTGTACACATAGATGTGATCATGCATATCACACTGTTATGCTTACAGCAGTGATACCCATGTATGCACACATGTATAAAACAAGTGCATTCATACAAATACACTTGTATCTATTTGCATATATACATGTCAGCAATACAACTATGTTCATATACACACACGTAAACATGTCAGTATATATACACATAAACATGTGTATACAGATACATTTGCATGTGTATAAAGACAGAAATTTGCGTATACACATGCATGTATATGCTCAGACACATAAACAGGCATTTGCACAATTATGCGAGCAGGTCTATCAGCATGTATATGTACACATACACATAAACAAATATATACACATCTAAAATATACACAAGTATACATGTTGCATATAAAATACGTATGTATACAGAGATGTGCAAATGTAAGAACAGACACGTATACACACAAACACATAAGCTCATACTCAGAAACATACACATACACATGGAATCATGTGCACACAATAAATACATATGCATGCATATGCATACAAATATACACCCATATGCGTGCATACCCAAATTTGAAATACTCATGTGTGCTCACAGTATACCATCATGAATATACCATATGCTCGTACACATGTACACACATACACACCCTGTAGCCGGTTCCTAAACACACTCTGCACTAACCCACACACAACCTTTCTTCTTCCAGGAATACCTTGCCTCTGTATCTCCCCAGTTAAAACTCCCCCATCAGGCTTCGTGTCTAAACACACGACACCAGCCTCCAACTCTGGAGGTTAAATGACCCTTGCTTGTGAGTTCCCGTAAGTTCCAAGAGCAGTACTGGAGCTCAGTCCCTTACTCTCTCTGTCTCCTGCAGAAGGAGCTGATGGGCACTTGACTAAGGACTCCCAAGGACAATGCCTGGTTGATTCTTCTTTATGCCTTTTGCTCTAAGCACAGGATCTAGCATCAATTAGAAGCTAAATGAAGTCTGCTTAATTAAGCTGCTAAATTAGTTGTCGTCAGGCCCCTGAAGGAATGAGATGTTGAACGGGCAAGTTTTTGATATGCTTGAAGGAACATGCTAGAAAAATGTTCCTCAGTATGTGGTGCATGGACCAGTGCCAGCGCAAACTGCTAACGGACCCATGTTGATCGAACAGTTTGGATTAAAAACTAAGGGTTGGTGAGACGGTTTTGTGGGTAAAGGTGCATGTTGTCCACCCCGAGGACATGTCCCACATGAAAGTTGAACTCTAACTCTGAACATGCATACACAAAAAATAGATGGAATACACTTTTAAAGATCTGTATCATGTCCCAAAGTGCATGTATTCGGTGGAATACTAACCTTGTTTAAAATTAGTTAGTTTGTTAGTTAGTTAGTTAGTTATTGGTTTTTGAGACAGGATTTCTCTGTGTAGCCCTGGCTGTCCTGGAACTCACTTTATAGACCAGGCTGGCCTCAAACTCACAGAGATCCACCTGCCTCTGCCTCCCAAGTGCTGGGATTAATGGCATGCATCACCACTACTCAGCTCTTTTGTTTTTTTAAGTTATTTATTTATTTATTTTTAAAAGATTTATTTATTTATTATGCATACAGTGTTCTGCCTGCACGTATGCCTGCAGGCCAGAAGAGGGCACCAGATCTCATTACAGATGGTTGTGAGCCACCATGTGATTGCTGGGAATTGAACTCAGGACCTCTGGAAGAGCAACCAGTGCTCTTAACCTCTGAGCCATCTCTCCAGCCCCCTTAAGTTATTTATTTTTTAAGATAATATAATTACTACACTTCTCCCTTCTCTTCCTTCCTCCAACCCCTTCCATAAATCCCTTCTTTCTCTTTTTCAAATTCACGGCCTCTTTATTTATTAATTTTTGTTATATACACAGTGTGTATACATATATATTCCTAAATACATAAATGCAATCAGTCTGTAAATGGTACTTGTATGCATGTTTTCAGGGCTGGCCATTTGGTATCGGAGAACCAGTTGAAGGCTCTTCACTGGGGGAGGCTATTTCTCCTGCTTTCAGAATGCCTTAGTTGCCTGTAGTTCTTGTGTAGGATTAAAGCCTCCTAGGCTTCCCCTCCTCACCCCTGCCCACTGTAACATGTCTATTGTTGTTATCCTTAGATCACTAATGTTAAAAGACATTTGGAAAATGAAATACTGTTTAAGGAGCTAGAGAGGTAGTTCAGTGGTTAAGAATACTTGCTGCTTGCTGAGGACTCATGACCCAGCTCCCCTGTCAGGCTCACTACTATCCTTGGGGAATCTGATGCCCTCTTCTGGCCTCTGTGGTCACTGCACTCATGAGTGCAGACACACACACACACACACACACACACACACACACACACAACACACACACACAATTATACATAATATTTAAAATAAATCTTTAAAAATATTGTTTTTTAAAACCTATATTAATTTCCTCCTTCCTGAATTGAGAAAATCTTCCTACAAAATAATCACCAACTGAAGGAAGTAATGTGCTTCTAGTCTGGAGACATTTCTGAATCTCCTCATGGACTTGTAATAAATGAATCATGGACCAGAGTCTAGAGTGTCTCTCTCTGCTCTAGCCTCCAGAGGCTGACAAATATGGCCACAGGACATTTATAGCCTATTGCTTGCTTTTGTAAATAGGGAGTGTATATGTATACAATGCATGCACCATGTACATGTTTAGAGGACAACCTTGGGTATCAGTCCTTGCCTCCCACCTTGTTTTGAGACAGGGTCGCTTCACGGCTTTTTCAATGTGTTAGACAGGCTAGCTGGCCCATGGGCTCCAGGGATTCTCCTCTCGGCTCCAAGCTCCCTGGAGAAGTGCTGGGGTTGTGGACGTTTATACGACTGCACCCAGATTTTACCTAGGTTCTGGGGATTTGAACTCAGGTCCTTGTGCTTGCATGGTAAATGCTTTGCCCTCTGAGCCATCTCTCCCGACCCATAAATAAAGTTTGTCGGCACACAGCCGATGCCCATGTGTGACACATTCTGCACAGCTGTGCTCACGCTGTAGCTGGTGGGGCTGAGCCACGGAGAGCGATGGCATGGCCCTGTACACAGCCGGTTTCACCTTTCCCAGAGACCGCCTTGAGCGGCCTGAGTGGCCTCATTCAGATGGGCACCGAGCCACTGACCACATTTCCCGCTGGCTCCCACTTTCTTGAGAAAGCCCATGGGGATCAGGTGGCCCCGGCTGTGAGTCCCTGAACAGCGAGACCAGCCTGCCCTCCTCACCCTCTCCCCTCACCAGGGTCTGGACCTCTGGCACAGTCTCTTCAGGGGCTGCTTCAGGTTCTGGCTCTGGGTCTGGCTGAGGTTCTGGCTCCAGCTGGGGCTCTGGCTCAGGTTCTGGTTTTGCCTCAGGCTCCAACTCTGGTTCTGGCAGTGGTTCTGCTCCCTCCTCGGTCTTCTGAGGGGTCCCCGGAGGCTGAGGCAGCACCTTCTGGACCCAGCCCAACATCCTGACGCCTGTAATGGAGAGTCTTTAAGGGTACCGGAATGCTCACAGGCACGCTCCTCATCATGGCCATGTTGTGGGCTGCATATGCCCTTTACCACACCTCATCTTTAAAAATATTCCTGCAGCAGGGCTGGAGAGATGGTGTTGTGGCTAAGAGCACCAGCTGCTCTTCCAGAGGACCCGTATTTAGTTTCCAGCGCAGTAGCTACACAGTGAGCTACACAGCAAGTCGCTCACAGACACCTATAACTCCAAATGCATGAGATCCAATACTTTCTTCTGGCCTATGAGGATCCACACATACATGAAATATGCACACATACACATTAAAAATAAATCTTTAAAAGAGTTTCTGCAATTATGAGCAGCCGCCTTCCCACCCTAGCCCCAGGAATGCGTATCTGCTTCCTGGCCCTGCAGTCTGAGTTCCAGAATGTAGAATTTCAGATATAGAAGTCCCAGAATTTCTGTATCATGTGTGGCCTTTGAGTATGGCCTCTTTCATTTAGCATATGCATCTGAGATTCTTCTGTGTTCCTCTCACGAATTCATTTACCTCTCTTGTGGAGTAGTATTCTATGGCATGGACTTTGCATACTTTGTTTATCCATTTCCAAGCTGAGGGTACAATTCTGGGGGCATTTCAAATAAAGCAGATATAAATAAAAATATTTCTGCAATGTTATCAGAGGCTCGCTATTGGAAAGAATCTGAATGTTCCTCATGGGTAAGGCCTGCATTAAGTAAGCTGCCATGCAGCCGGTAATGGGGAATGTGGGACCGTCGGAGAGGAAGAAGTACATTTGTGTGAACAGAAGAGGAACGTGCTCTAGCATTGTCATGAGCAGATAGGTTAGACTCCCTTCGTCTCTGTTTGTCTGTCTGTAAAGTGGGGGCACTGAAGCCAGGCATGGTGGTACCCACTTAGACTCCAGCATTTGAGCAGTGGAGGCAGAAGGACCGACCGGCAGTTCCAGGTCAGCCTGAACAAGAAACAAGCAACATTGGTAGTCCCTACCTTGTGAGCAGAGTGTGAGGGTAAAATCTATTAAGATAAGCCAGGCACGGTAGCCACACACCTTTAATCCCAGCAATCAGGAGGCAGAGGCAGGTGGATCTCTGAGTTCCAGGCCAGCGTGGTGTACAGAATGAGTTCCAGGTAGCTAGGAACATAGAGAAACCCTGTCTCAAAAAAAACCAAGAGACAGAGACAGAGAGACAGAGAGAAAAGCAACATTTTCAGACCAGTGACTGAGCCTCCACTTAATTTTGAGTTATCTGTTCAGACATCAGCTGCTAGCCAGTGACTGGCCCATGCTAAGGGCTTCATAAAGGTGGTCATGACTACAGGGGCAGGCGCTGAGTGCAAGCACAGACTGTGGGATGTCTTATGCTGCAGAAGCCCATGACAGAAAGGAAATACTGGGGACTTATTAAGAGAAAGTCTGTATTGTCTAAGATAACACTAACCAGGTGCTTTAATCCCAGCACTAGGGAGGCAGAGGCAGGTGGATTTCTGTGAATTTAAAGATAGCTTGATCTACATAGCAAGTTTCAGGCCAGCCAGAGCTACACAGTGAGACTCTGTCTCAAAAATAAATAAACAAATAAATAACAACATTTATCATTTTTTTTAACTTTGAAGATAAAATGCCAGTTGGACCTCTGTCACAGTTGATAATGACATTCCGACCAGTTTCTAGCTCATTGATATTAAGCAAATGGGGAGCCAAGCTCTGTGACACTGAATTCCCACAGGACGGCTCAGTGGCACCATCCAGGCTGACATGTAGACAGGACTGTGCAAGGCCACCCAGGACACAAGCTTACCCAAGGTTTTATCTCCCACCTGTCTCTGCCTGGACCCTTGAAAAAAGCAGCCTCATGGCCAGGGATCCCTGTCCCAGTGCCGGCTTCCCAGAGCCCATTGTCAGGTTGCTTGACCTCTGTCCCAGCTCTGGCTCAGCTTCTCCCAAGGACAGCCTCAATGGAGACAGAGCTTAAGCTGTGGAGTCAGATCAGATACAGGAAAGTGCCCGGGGCCAGATATAACCACTGGGTTCTTCTAGTTCCCTGCTGGCTGGGGGGTGTGGACACAGCGACTTCCTCCCAAGGTCAGAATGCACAGACCCCAGCCAGCTACCAGCAGCCCCGGGAACCAGACCTGAGGAAAGCCCTCCTCAACACCTGCCCTCACGCCCCTCTGATAATACTCGTTCTCCTGACCATGGTGCCCTCCCCTACTCCTGTAAGGGGGATAGCTATCCTCAGGCCAACGGAATTAGCTAAGGTGACTCCGGCCAAGATGAGTTTACTCTCAGATCTGCCCTTGGGCCCTGACTGCCTTCTCTTGGACTCCACTGTAGGGCCAGTGGGCAATAATCCTGGCTTGCATTTCTGAACTGTCTGGAAATTACTAGGGAAGCTGCCTCCTAGGCCAGTTTTCTCCTGGATGGGAGTTTGGAGGCCCATCTTGCTGCCCTCCAACTTGAAAGAGGGAGGCTGAGGCAAGAAGAGGACCTAGGGGTAGCCACCCAGAAAACTCTAGTGTTGAACCACCAGCATTCTGAGAATCTTCTGGGGAGCTAGAGAAAAAACAGATTCCTAGGTTCCCCCCAAACCCTATGGGGATGTCAGGTCTACATTTCTCGGGCTGCCCTGAAGCTACCAAGGTCTAAGCCATGGGAGGAGGCACCGCAGACTTTCTGCCACATCGACTTCATCTCCTAAATGCCTTGTTAGAAGCTGAGCGTGGGGGTCCCCCAGGGAGTCCTGCTGAACCCCACTTCTCTTTGAGTTACCTGTTCAGATGTCAGCTGCCAGGAGGAATTGCCTTCTCAATGTCCCCGCAGCCGGCCTCTCAGACCCAGCCAGGATTAATTGGCATGGGCCGGGTGCAAAGGATTAGCATGTGCAGAAGCGGGGCAGGGTAGAAAGATGACTGGTGCCCAGGGAAGCCAACAGCAACCCCCAAGTGTGTCCAACAGGGGCCTACATACAAGGTTTAGGGCCCTATGCATGGCTAGGGAACCTGTCCCAGTGCCGGGGCCCGGCTTCCCACACACCGACAAAGTCAGGGGGAGACTGTCGAACAAGGAACGGCCTGGATGCCTGTGTGGTTCTGGGAGGCTCCTCAAGGTGACAGGAGCCCATCAGCTCAGTCAGAGGGACAGGTGTGTGTCCGTACTCTCCAGCACCCATGCTGGTACTCAGCAGGCTCTCTGGAGGGTCTTTAATAGCTTGAGCTTTATTTATCACAAGAACCATTGGCCCAGGACAGGGCCTTTAGCACAAATCTGTATTTATCAGCATTTCCAGAGAAAGAGAACCAAGAAAGTATGACGTCTCAGGACCAGAAGGCCTAGGATACAGTTCCAGTTAGATGTCTCAGGCCTCAGGGTCCCTGAAGGATGGCTAGTGCAAGACTCAGCATCCGAGGTGGCCAAAGGACCCAGACTCTGAGGCCAAGGCCAGCAGCAGCAGGAAGAACCACACCCACTTAAGGAAGAAGAGTCGGAGACAGTTTCTCCTCTTTCCCCTGTCCTATTCCCTCCCAGACACTAACCAAGCGGATAGTTCCAACCCACACAGGGGGATGAGTCCTCAGTTTGATGACCTGTGTGTCAATCTTGCCTGGAACACTCTCCCAGACACCTCCAGAAGTCATGATTTACCAATTCTCTAGGCATTCCTAATCAGCCAAGTTGAAACTCAAAATTAACAATCTTGACCATTACAGTTTCCAAGGCCTGGCTGATAACTGACCGAACTGGTAAACTGAGGCTGGACTCTCAGAAGAAATGCAGATCCAGGAGGAGGGGGTGCAAAGGGAGGTGGCTGGGGGGGAGAGGGGCTCTATGAGGTGGTGGCACCCGAGTTGGTTCCAGGGTCACAAGACGTTCAGTAAGGGGCAGACACTTAACCTGGCCATCCGGGACAAATTTTTGGAGTTCTCACTGTGTGCCTAGCTGTGAGTCAGCCTGTAGCATGCTGAATGAAACTAGTTTAGGGCTTCCACCAAAGCCCATTGACCTATTGCATCAGGGCTACTGGACACAACACCTTAAACCAGGTAATTTACAAGGAACAGAAATGTACTCTTCACTGTTGCAATAGAAGATCAAAGCCCTAGACGAGGTGGTGCCTGGGAAGGGCTCGTTCCTCGTAGGTGGGGATGTCTATGTGGTCCAGACACACCACAGTTTATGTCTGACTCCTGGCCATGGGCACCAAGCTTGTTTCCACCTTTTGACTACAATCCACACTGCTCTGAGTATCTGTGTGCAAGTCTTCACGGCACGTGTTCACTTCTCTCAGACAGTTTCTAGGGTAGGCTCTTCCATACAAAGCAACCATATTGTACATTTCTCTTCCTTGTTGTTTGGGTTTTTCAGAGACAAGATGTTGCTAAAATTCCTTCCCTGGAGGAAACATAAGCAACTTCTGCTCCTCCTCTCCCAAGGTCCCAGTGACAAACCCAGCACAATTCCACCAGAGTTCACCCTGGGGGAACCAATGCATTTATCAGGCTTGTGTACAGAGCGTGGGTGAGGGGTTATTTCTGGAGTGTGGGTGCTCCTCCCCCAAGAGTCTACAAAAGAAAGTCCTTTCCCAGCAGGGATGAAGACTTTTATAGTTGCATAGACAGAACAGCTTTGCTGCCCTGCCCTAGGAAGGTTTTCCCTCACCTTTAGACTCCAGTCCCTCTGAGGTCATGTGCAATTAGGCCAGAGTTGCACAGGGCAGGTGGTAGAGAGCGGCTGGATACCACACAGGTGAGAATCTTGTGACACAACACCCCCCCCCATCCCACCCAGAATGTAAATTGTCAGCCAGGCCAGCGGAGATAATCTTTTGCAAACTGGCACAGCAGAACTCCCCAAGATGGCAGCTGCTTGGCTGGGAGGATAGTCCAGTCCAACACAGGCTCACACACCATGTAGCCGTGACTGGATTTGAACTCAGCCTCTGGAGTGCTGAGGTTGTAGCTGTATGCCAGC